CAAAAAAAAAAAAAAAAAAAGAAAAGAAAAAAAAAAGCTAAACCAGAAAAAAAAAGAAATAAAAGGCTAAACCAGGTGTTTTTTAGAAGGGTGAATTTTTCTTTATTATATTGTAATGATAGATACATGCCACTAAACATTTATAAAAGTTCATAGATGAATATAATGCAAAAAGCCAACTCTAACATAAACCACGGACTTCAGTTAATAATTTATCAATTTGAGCTCAACAGTCTTAACGTATGTTTAATGCTAAGGCAAGACATTAATGATATAGGAAACTGAATGGCAGAGAGAAGGTAGGCTGGAACTCTGTACTATCTGTTCAGTTTTCTGTAAAACCTAAAATTGTTTTTAAAAATCTATTAATTTAAAAAATTTGCATTAAGAAAATTTTCAAATATTTTGAAAAGTTAAAAGCACTCTATGATAAACATAACTCTATCCCCCATTCAAAGTAAATAATTGTTTATATTTTGTCATATTTGTTCTATCTATCTTTGAAGAATAAAATGAGTTTTGGGGCCAGGGATTTAGCTCAGTGGTTCCACCGCCTGCCTTGCAAGTGCAAGTTCCTGAGTTTGATCCCCAGTACAGGAAAAGAAAATGAATAAAAGATGAGTTTTGCTGATCAAAGTGAAAATTACTTGCAGACATCGTAATTCTTCACCTTGAAATAGCATTTATCTCCTAAATATAAGGACATTATCCCACAGGATCATAATGCTACTTTTGTTACTAATGAAAAAAAAAACCAAAGAACATCTTCTAGCTTCACTTGAACTGACTTAAAAAATCACTAAGTTTTGAAGTCTCACAGCTGGGTGATACATTATTAGTTTCCCACTAGCTTTGCTTTAGATAACACCTTTGCTACACGGGTTATGATGACAAAAATTTCCTGGGTTAGTTTCTAAGAACTCGAAGACCTCTTTTTCTGAAAACACTGACTCTTCCTTTGGGCTTGCAGATGTTTAATGGTGACTGGAACAGGATGAAAATTCTTGGTATCCCTGTTTTCACGTTGTCTTATCATCTCAACCTTGAGTAAGATGTTACTTAGCTCTGCGTGTAGACAAGTTGATCATATAGCAGCAATCTTTATCTATGTTAAAATGTTAATCTTTTTATTGTAAGCTAGGATAATTTCACTTACAGTCTTCACCCTTGTTGAGTAGGACTTATTTTCACTCCCTCACATACATCCTCTTTGTTTCCCAAAAAAGTATTTTCTGATTTTTCATCTTGAAGTTCTTCTGAGAACTCTGTATTTTGTTTCAGATACCACCCCATTTCTATGAATTTCCTGTGTATTGGATTTCTTAAAAATAACTCAAACATATACTGATAATACTTATTCACTTCCTTATTCTCACCTAATCTTACAATTTCATACTGAAAATGTTTTGTCATTGTGCTTAGTTCATCCTTGTTACCAAATTCAGTGGGTATTTTTAATTTTTCATCTTATTTGAATTTTTAATATTATTATAGATCACTAGACTTTCCTTCTTGAAAAATTCTTTTCTGACTTCTGTTATAACACTTTTTTTTGAGACAGGATCTCATTATGTAGTCAGGCTGGCCCCAAATTCATGGTGATCCTCTTGCCTCAGCCTTCTGAGTGCTGGGATTACAGGTGTATACCACTGTGCCCAGCTAGCACTTTCTTTTTAACCATTTCTTCTCTGTCCATTTTTTCAATTCCTTTAGGGACTTATGTTGTTCCTTTACCTGTTGAAATTTGTCAATTTTGTCCCTCCTTTACCTGTTGAAATTTGTCAATTTTGAACCTCCTCTAATTCTGCATTCTGTTTCTTTATTCTACCTTCAAATACATGAAATTTTAGTATAGCAGTTGTGTTAAAAATGGCAGGGCTATAATCCCTTTGACCCTAAGTTTCTTCATTTATAAAATGTGTAATGACTTCTTTATATTAATAAAATACATAATTTTTTCAAGAGTCTATATTTTAATTCAACAAGTAAAAAATAAATCGCAGGGCTGGGGATTTAGCTCAGTGGTGCTGCCGCCTGCCTCACCAGTGCAAGGTCCCAAGTTTGATCCCCAGTACCAAATAAATAAATAAATTGCATGCCTGTAATCTCAGAACTCTAGGAGGCTGAGGCAGGAGTTCAAGCCCAGCCTGGACAATTTAGCAATTTAGACCCTTCCTCAAAATAAAAAGAAAAAGTCCAGGGTTTAGCTTAGTGTGTGCTGGGAGCAATTCTACCTAATTTTGGGGTAAAAGTATGATTAGGGTCTAGTTTTCCTGTTTACAGGCCAGCCACAGGCATGTCAAGATATAACTCTATCTTCACCTCTGGTCACAGCTAGGACTTCAAGGGTCCCGAGACACCGTGATACTCCACAGCAGGACTACACTAGCTGGAGACATCCTGGGAGGAACCAAATCTTCATCTGCATGGTTTCCCATCGTTCTAGGATTTCTGCTGTCTCCTGAGTCATTTGTTACATTTATTTCTACCAGTGTACTGAATAAAGGTGTGGCAAGCTCTGGGGCTTCAGTCTTTGCAGCCCAGAGCAGCATTGATCAGGCCCAAAGCTCAGCTTCTTCTCAAAGTCTCATTTTTCCTCTTTCCTGTATAATAAGTTAATTTTCCTTGTGCTGTCTTGGCTTACAAGGAGACTAGGACTTACTACAGAGGTTCTGGTAACATCCCCTTTCCCTGTCCCCTATAAGTGTGAAGGCTCTGAGTTCAATTGTCAATACTACAAAAAGGTGTAAAATAAATTCTTAGAAGACAATAGAATGAAAGGTGTAGGAAGGCGCATTTGAAGATTTCCAAAATACTGATCCGCTCACCTAGTTTGAAACATGAATCAGCGTAATTCTTTGCTGTAAGAACTTCATCTTGAATATCATCTTCCTGATATGTATGTATGTATATATCTATCTATCTATCTATCTATCTATCTCCCGGAATTTTTCACTTTTTCACCATTGACAATGGAATGGTTTGTCAAGAAAATGTTATGACCTGAATTTCTTAAAGAACTCATCTGTGGTAGACTTTTTTCAAGGGCCTAGATGCATCAACCATACTATATTGTCATAACTTTCACATTGCTTGAAATTTTTGTAGAAGAGTGAAGAGAAGGAGTATCTCTAGGCTTCTGAAGACTATTAGGAATATCTTTGGCATGTTCATCTCACCATCTTATCCAATCCATCATCAAGTTTATAGTCTCTCACCAACTTATTATGACAAATTATTCCATTTTGCACCCACTCAGAACACCCTCAGCCAGAATATCTTTTTCTCACTGTACTCTTAATAGTCTCACATCTTTTTCATGCTCACTGTTATACCCTTCCAAGCCAATTCTCCAGAGTAGTAGGGCTAATCTTGTTAAAATCAAAGCAAAATTCTGTTATTCTCCTGCTAAAGTTAGTGCAGACTTTTCATTGCTTTAATAATAAAATAAAAAATCCTCAAATGCCCTCAGTCTGAGCTGGGCATGATGAAACATGCCTGGAGTCACAGCTACTTGGGGGAGCTAAAGTAGGAGGATCACTCGAGTTCACAGGTTTGAGTCCAGCCTGGGGAAAATAGTTAGATCCCCATCTAAAAAAGAAAGCACAGAAAAGGAAAGAAAAGAGGGAA